TATTCACAAATGAAGAGAGTGAAACACGTGTTTCTGCTTGGTGAACTGTTTTGTGAAAAGTTTTGTTACATATTTTCAGTATAAATTTTGATCTAGTCATCACATATATGAAAAACTGGTATATACCAATCTGGTAAAACATAAAAAACATAAAACATAAAAAATTTCGTTTCTTCATTTATTGATTCATTTCAGTTCTGATGATGAAGACAGGAGACCTGAAAGACCAAAAACTGACATACCTCCGGAATATTGGCACATACAAAAACTAATAAAATATTTGAAAACTGGGAATCAAACAGCAACTGTCGTAGCTCTCTGCTGTCTCAAAGATCATGATCTGACCACAGAAATCAACCAACTGGCCATACAAGTAAATCATCCAAAATGAAAATCGTTGGATTTTGTAACTTCTACATTTTAGGAAATTGGAGGACTCGAAATTCTCATAAACCTTCTAGAAACCAAAGATCTCAAATGTAAACTGGGAGCACTAGGAGTTCTCACCGAACTGTCTGTCAACCAAGACATTCGACGTTCCATAGCAGACTTGGGTGGCATACCATTATTAGTTAAGAATTTAACAGAGCCTGCTAGAGATTTGCAAATTCTTGTTGCCGAAACGATATATAACGTTGCTCAGGTCAGGAAAGCGAGGAAGCATGTCAGGAAATGCAACGGCATTCCAAAATTGGTGGATTTTCTGGATGTTAATGAAGCGTTTTTGATGACTCCAAAAGAGCAGCTACATCAAGATGATCAGGAGTTGGTCAATATTGCCAAGGCAGCTGCTCGGGCGCTATGGTCAGTTTCGAGAAGTAGCAAGAACATACAAGTAATGATGAAGAGCGGATCTGTCCCGTTACTAGCTAGACTTTTGAGGTATCATTTAGAAGTATTGCCACGAATATTTGGAATAAAGTATATGTCCATAATGCAAGTCACCCTATATATAAAAAAGGTTGTGAACTCAATGGCATTGTAGCCATAAAGATACTTGATCAAGGTCTATTAAAATATTAATTTTGATTTCTTGTGCAATATATCCATTGTAAATCGAAGTTGAATCATCAGCAAACATTTGTGACTCAGCAAATAAATTTATTGTAGCCAAAAAATTGAAATATATAAGCAACAACACAGGTCCAAGTATTGATCCTTGCGGTACCCACATTTAATGTTTTTTTAACTGATTATGTCGCCAATATAGATATCTTGCTTTCTACTCATCAAATAATTTTGAAACCAATTATAAACTGAATCTCTGATACCTATATTATGCATTATTACGATCAATCGATTGATAATACTTTTCCTGCACTAGAACAAAAGTACGGTGGACACGTGTTTCGCTAGCCAAGTAAGCATCATCAGGACATGACTGAAACTCAAATGACTTTTATTCATCTCTATGATGATGCTACCTTGATTGGCGAGAAGCGTGTAGGAAAAGTGTTTTCAATAGAATTATTTCACTCCAGAGGTTTTGAATATATGAGTACCTATCAANTGTTTTTCCCTATTTATCATTATTTTATCGTTTTTATGTCAATGAAAGGCATTCATAAACTGAAACAGCGGCACTGAAATGATTGTGTGGCTCTTGATGGAGATTATGTTGATAAATAAAGCTAATTTCGAAGAAAAACAAACACGTTTTCTTCTTAGATCCGGGACTGTTAAGCCCATGTGTTGGAGGAAAAACCAAGCCTCAGTAGAGTAATACTGTGTGAGGTACTACAAAAATCTAAACCAGGTCCAGTTATTTTCCTCAAACAGGGTGGAAAAATATAAGGGCGTATTCAGGAGATGATTTTATAAAACTTAGGTCCGGAAATAATTCTTTCCAAAATATAAGATGTTGAACTTTTCTTTAAAGAATATTTTTTATTAATATTGTAATTATGCCTTATTCAATTTTTATGGAATCTGGCAATATCATTTCCAATGATGAAAGGTATTTTTAGTCTTAATCATATGCAAATTATCGAGTTCGGGGGCATAGTTCAACCAACATTATTGACCAAAAATATATATCAAGATACGTATTAACACAAAAAAGGATTTTTTGTATCAATATGTATCTTAGAAACGATGCTTCTCTAGACCTATGTACATACGTACAATTAGGAAATACCCCGTATACATAAATTCTATACAATACCTGAACCATTAAAAAACATGATATATTCAGATGATACTGTAAAGAAAATAAAGAGATGGCAAACGATTTGATTACATCTAAAGATCTTTGTCCGATTTGTATAAAAATCCCGATACATCTAGAAATGAAGAAATCAGATGTTTTTCCATTAACATCCAATTTTTGCTTTTATATATTGAGCAAAATTTAATACGGTCCAAACACGTTAATACGCTGCAAAAAAATCTGTTCTCTATCCCAAACTTCTTGTTACTATTTAACAAAAAAAACACTATTATTATCATCATACAGATTTTGAACTTCATTTCAGGAATTTCCAGCTTTGAGGAGGTATTGCGCCGAAACAATCTTCAAATGCAGTGAAAATGCTTCTACCAGGGATATGGTAAGACAGTCTGGCGGTTTGGATCCTCTAGTAAACATGGCTCGAGACCCAAAAACGAAAGAGGATAAATCACTATTGGC